CCACTATGATCCGATTTTGGTACCGAAGGGAATCTCGCTTGGATTTTCAACAGGCTTTCGCGCGCAGCGGAGATCCATGGTGAAGACGAATTTCTCTTAGGAAGATACAAATTCAAATCGACTTGTGGAATGCCAGTGTATTTGTCCTGAATCAAAGACAGACTTTGCCGAGCTGACGACCTTGATGCTGATATAGTTTCTGATGTATCTGAAGATATCACAGGTTGCATGTTGTGGCAGGCTTTCTTACCATCCCTCAGATTACCGTAGGGGCTTGTGGGGGGCGATGGGATTGAACGTGTAACGGGATCTTTGCTGCTGTTGCGAGTGGCAAGCGTCGACCAGAAGCTTGCTGGCTCCGCTCCGCTTTCTAAATTCAATTCAGGAAAAGCGGCATCTTGTAGGTGTTGGAACCATGATTTTTTCCCTTCGCAGTGATTAGGTTCAACCGACAAACAATCAAATATGGTAACTTTTCTCAGCTTGGACAACGTTTGTGAGCTCGCACATCTTCGAACTCCTGTACATGACCCAAGCGAAGAGCCGATTGCTGTGGCATTTCCAGAGCGAGCTGGTGCTTTAGGGTGTGCTTTAATGATACTTTTCTTTCTTTCTCCACCAGTGTCAGATTTTTGGCGTTTCGGAGCATCGGATTCGAAATTATTCAACCACGAGCATACTCTATCCGGGGGGCTGATGGGAGTTTCGTTAAGCCATGAGTTCCGCGTTATAGGGGTTGTGGCCATACCGCTTAACATGGGTGAACTTATCGCAGTTCGAGCATCAATTCCAATGCTATAAAGTGAGTAAGATGGGCGAGCATTAAGTCCTCTAGAAACTATGTCGCCCAAGAGCCGGGATTCACGAATGGGAATAGATATATCTGGGAGTGGGGAACGCCACTCGTTGGTCGATTTTCTAGGAAGGGGAGGAAATGAAATTACATGATCTTTAGGTGATTCTTGTTCCGTACTTGTAATGAAGTTGGCATCATTCCCATTTACGACCGGCTCACATTGCCAGGACCATTTGCTGATGGACATGCGTGCATCGTTGGGGTCGAAAGTGCCTTTATTCTTGCTAGGTCGATGGTCCTTATCGACATCTTCTCGATGAAGAAAGCTTTTTGTCGTATCGTCATATCTAGGGCTTGCAATATCTTCTTGATCTGTGCTGGCCTGACTGGAACACTTTGACTCACCTTCGAAGTGAGCATGGTCTCTCTCACTTACATGAGATTCTTGTTGACTATGCTCCTCCCAAATTACTTCGTGCACACTTTCGGGATTTCCTTCTGACTGTCGGTCAAGCCGGCCAAAATTTGATTGAGAAATTCCCAAAAAGTTTTCCGGATTTCCTGATATTTCCGGGTTCACAATACATGTTGGGGAGCGAGGCAGATTAGGAGAGAATGTTCTGGTAGTAGAGTTGCCAAATTGTGAGGTCTCTTTTGAGTTGTCCGATTGTGCTGCATGTATGTGAATTTCACAGGAAGAGGGGCGCACCATAGGTACTACGCCTTTACTTGTGAAAGACAATGACGATAACCTGCTCCCACGCGGTGATTGATCTTGGCTTGAGCCATTTGCGGCTGAGACAGGTGGGCGACTTCCGTGTGTATGGAGTAGACCTGCTTGGAGCAATTCCATTACAGCTTCGACATCCTCTCGAGTAATGATATACGCCTCTGAATCTTGTGGTAGGTTCTCCGAGTAGGTTGGCTGGCGACTCGAAATAGAAGGTATGCCAGACATGGTTCCTGGTGTCGTAAAAAACGGCGAAGTTCCCATGTTGCTACTCATGTCGGATTTATTGGATGCGCTGGGTCTTCTCAGGGTTATAGCAGAAGGTTTCAGCAATTGACTGTTTGTGACCTTTCGAACAGTGAGCCTGTCACGAAGAGAGCGCACCATGTCGTTATATCTAGCACCAGCAGTGAACGATGAACTTCTGTTTCGCTCGTCAAGAGGATTAGAATCAAAGAAAGCGTGTCGAGTTTTCGGGGTTTTTTCTTGCACATGTTGACCAGAGTTGAGCTTCAGTAGCGGACGAAGCTTAAGTTGGCGTGTGCCAATTTCGACTGAGCTCCATCTTCTTGATACAACTGGAGCAGCTGGTTCAGACATAAGCCTTCTCTTACCCAGTCTCTTCGGTAGGCAATGATCCCTACGAGTGTTTGGTAATATCGCGCCTTCCAGGGCTGTTGGCGCAACCTGAGTTGGAGGAAGCCAGTGCGAGTTGTAGTCCCGCTCCGCTGCAGCTATTTTCTTGGCCTCCTTTTTCAGTCCTCGATTGCACGTTCCTCTGCATCGACGCTTACGTGTCTTGCCCATACCCTCAGTGTTTCTCCTACCCTGCTTCTTGACCATTGTGAGACTTTCAGAGCTTAGTTTGCGTGGCTTGTATGGGGCAACTATTCTATCTCGAACTGAGGACATACTATCGGTGGTACATGAATACTCAAATGAGCTGATATGGGAATTCTTTGACGAGGAGGCCAGCATTGGGCTTCCCTCTGTCGGGAATAAAGGTGATGCACTTGATGATACTAAATCGATCTCGTTATGACCGCCGCGCGGTCGGCTTGGTGTAGAGGGACGTCGGCCTTCGAAATAATCATTTTGCAATGCATGCCGAGATATTGGAGCCGTGCTGCAAGGCGATTTTTGTGTATATGGTAATGAAAAACCTTGTGGAGGTGTCCGAAGTCCAGGAATATCTACAACACACAACTGTCGTGATCTGGAATTGAAAGATCGATCGCCACTGGCGACTTTCCGGCCCATTCCCAAAGGGACGCTCAATATAGAAGATGGAAGTGAAGTCGGGGCATTAGGCCGTAGGGGAGGTTTTTGGAAGGGCTGGTCATCAGTAAGACTCTGGCTGCTAGTCATGTTTGAAGTGATGGTAGATGCTGCAATAGGAATAATTTTCGGATCTTTAAGGTCTATAGGGTGTGTGGAAGACATCGTAAAATAGGTAATAATCACAGGATAATTTAAAACGGAGAGTAGGAAATAATACAAGCAAGTAGAACGTCGGAACTAGCATCGAATTCCAATACGTGTACTGGAAGAAGAGAAATTGATGAAACTTGAAATGGTGATAAACAACGATGGTATATCTGCAGCTTAAGAAAGAACCACTGCAGCCATAGTTGTGTCGTGGGGAAGCCGCTACGATAAAGACCACTACTAATGGCCGTTGCTCGTTATGAGCCATGCCACATCTCCAATGACTTGGTAATCGAAACTCAAGTTTACAAGCCTAAGTTCTGTAAATCTAGAATGATGTTACATATAACAGGACATCCGGTAGATTACGAATCGTCCCTCCCATGATTTGCATTAGGGGCGCACCAAGATTCCTGGCAACATGGAGGTATTGAATAGACAGTTTAAATTCTTACACTGACCAAACCAGAAATTGCAAACAGTTTTGTGTATTGCTTGTTCAATTGGATTACAATACGCGAAGAAAGTTGAAGGCTTGGGAAAGATACAAGCTGAAGATGAATTATTTGCACGTGATATTTTGCCAAGATCACCTGGCGGGGCGGGCGTAAAGCATCAACTTTGCATTATATATTTTGAAGTGTGTTGCTGCACAATGCAATGAGCCAACGACAAATGAATGCCAGCCCAATTTATTCCCCGCAAATCAGGTCGTCACCGTATAGCCTGTAAGCGCAATTCTTCTATCTTGTACATTCAAGGCTAAAATGATACAAAGGCATTGCGCTATACAGGACCTTGCTCGAACAATGTCTTCGGGTTCCTATTCCGACTGAGCTCCAACCTAAAGGATTGACTCATCCACTAAAACATCTTGTACGCAAACAATTCCGGCGAAATGTACGAGAACACAGCCCAAAGATTGTTGTCGCTGCACTAAAAACGGGCTATGAGGTTCGTTCGCACCATTCAGAAACATCATTGCCTATATGTTCGATACTGACGAAGGCATTGTCCAGGCAGAGGAGCTCATTCGTGCCGCTGGCGATGGCGACGCAGATTCAAGACATAAGATTTACGACCTACTACACTACCGGAAATCCGTAGCCACCAGATCCGCGCTCGTGCCTCAACCTCCTAAACTTAAGATTCGTTATCCAGAAGCTATTCCAGGTGTCCCTAAGCTTCTCGAAACTCGTCCTTTACCGTTCGAAAAACTCTCTGGGCCTCGCCACGTACCTAAGTTTGCGAAAGCAATGGTATCAAACTTTCTTCGAATACAGAAACCGCAAAGTCCCTATCTGAGCCGGGTTTTGAGGGACAAAATAGACACCAGACAGAAGCGCGTAAATTCTCGTGAAAGAATAGAGTATTTGGAGGAGATAGCTCTCGCAGAAAATACTTGGGAAGACCTGATTGAGGATCAGTTGGAGAATGAGGGCTTGAGTGTAGACAAGTGGAACAAGAAACAGCCTGGATTGGGATGGGGAGTTGGATTCTGGGAGAGAGACCTGCAATTGGCCGACGCTCATGTGAAACATTTGATGGTGAACGAGGCACTCAAGGTTGTCGAACTGTCTAAGAAACAACTAGAAATAGTGGATAAGGAGAAAGAACTATGGAAACAAGAGAGGGGCCAAAGGAGACATGACAAGAAATTGGCTAGATTAGAGGAGAAGTTTCAGGTCTAGTCTAGCATGAGCCAGCTCCAATTTAGGAATCCGATGGCTCCTAATCAAGATGAACAAGTTACTCTGTCACATTTTCTGGTGTGCTATTCTCTTACGGACATTTGCTCAAAGAGATTGGGGATAGAACTCGAAGAACTTATTGCAGCCTTGCGAAAGTAATCACCGCTCGTTTTATTCGTTTGTTTCTCCTTTAGTAAATATCATAACGGGGATATAAAACCTAATTTCGCCGCGCTGATGCATCCGTATCAACCTAAGAAATGTCATATGCATAACCCGTCTCTCCACAGCCTAACAAATGTCGTGATCTCAAAATTGCTCGTGTCATGATTCGTTTCGTAGATGCGTAAGGTAATTATTCGTATGTAGAGCCCTCTTGTGGTTGAGGGAGTTTCTTGTTGGTAGGAGATGCCATGTACCTGGATACTGTAAGCCTCTATCTTCACTATGCAAATATGTACGTTGTGAGACTTACTTTCTCAACTCGGTCAAGACAGTCTCCATCGTATTGTGGCGTTGCCAGTTCGCAAGGCATGCAAACTTCGAAGGGTCGACCTAGAACATCAGTTAGCTCCGGCTACTTTTCATGGCGCTCAAATTAGTATGCTAGCTAACCTTGCCATCATCTTGGACACCGGGAAGGTTGATCTTGTTAGTGAACTTGATGGTTGGTGGAACATCGGGATAGTTCTCTCCACAATGCATGGTAAGAGAGTAGATGCGATTCTCATGGACGCTCTATCGGTACGCCCGTTATTAGTTCAAAGCCAGTAGATACTAATAAGTACAAGTAGAAACATACGTGTGGAGGACCAAGAATCGTGCCATTCCAGTTGGACATATACAAATCGTCGCCGTCTGTCAGACCATAAGAGCAAGCGTCTTTGAATAACGAGAATCATTAGAGGTTGTCCAACTTCAATGCTTATTGACATCCGACTCACCAGCTCCAAGACCCTTTTCACCCTTCTCTAACTCCTCTAGCAATCTAAAGTTTCTTGGTACTTTCGCCATCTTTTTCCTTTCGAAATCTTGGCTTTGGATGGTAGATAAAGTGTCGGTATCTGAAAGTTCCAATGTTGTGAAGTTGCGCAATAGGGCAAGAGGTTGTAAATGGTTGATAAGTTTTATTGAGGAAAGGCGGCAGGTTTGATCGCGGGGTTGATCTCCAAGAATTCCGGGCGGTCAATATCGGCCAATCCTCGGCAGAATATCTATTTACAGTCCATCTTGATAAAGGACAACTGAACCAATGAATACACTTCAGCAAGAACATTATGTCTTCTAAAAAATAATGGAAAGGTTAATATTGCAAACCAATCAACATGACGGCGCAGATTCTCGCCTCAGAGCTTGGGAATCTCATACAAGAGAGTAAAAGAAAGCATACAGATCTTAGAAATGTAAGTTCATTTCTTCACGGCCACCATTCAGTCAGGCCCCTTACGTTGCTGATTTGACAACGTCAGGCAGCAGAAAAGAGTTTGGATGAGATCAAGGGTCTACGATCAACTTCTGAGGCCCAAATAGCTGCGGGTAAGTTTGTAGACAAAGATACAGTGTTGTCATCTGGAAATGCACCATAATTGTGACTGATGTGCAATTAGACCTCACTCAACGACCAAATTTCGTGACACCTTTCCTCATTGCTTGCGGCACCAAAAATGTCAAATTTACTGGAATCGCAGTTGTTTGCCTTCAAAGGCTAGTTGTGTCTCGTGCACTTCCTAAATCAAGGCTCAAAGAAGTTTTGGAGGCACTTCGAGAAGCTACGTCAGCTGGTCTTGATGTACAATTGAAGATCCTCCAAGCATTACCGTCACTTTTGCAAAACTATGCAGATGAATTGAAGGGGGAGCTGTTAGCTGCAGCTCTAAATATATGTACCATTCTTCAAGCAAGTAAGAATGGGATTGTTCTTAATACAGCCGCTGCTACCCTTCAGCAGTTAGTCGTCTCTGTATTCGACAAAGTGGTAACAGAGGACAGTGAGTTCATGAATCGATTGCCAAACCACAGAGTTTATCTAATTACGGGATAGAAATTGCTTTGGAGGTGCCTACTATAGGCGAGGCCCCAACTGAAGATGGAATTATTCAACTGCGTGCCGCCGCTTTGGATGCATATAGAGTTTTCAACGACATATGCTTATTAACGGAGGCTCAAAAGCCTCAATTTCTAAGATCAACAGGTCTCCCGCAAACCTTCGGACTCGAGCTAATCGAATCTGTTTTGACTAATCATGCCGACATATTTCTATCGCATCCTGAGCAAGCAAATATACTTCGAGTCCGAGTTATGCCATTCATCATCAGCGCACTCTCAGAGAAGCTCAACTTTGCAGTGACTGTCAGGATCACAAGAATTCTTTATACACTTCTCAGAAGGCATTTGAGTATTCTATCATCTGAAGGCGAAATGGCCTTAGGTCTGCTCACCCACATGCTTGACCACGATACTGCTTTGTGGAAGCGATCGCTGTGCATGGAGGTATTAAGGGGTATTTTTGCCGAAGCAGCTCTGATAAGAAGAATATTTTCCATGTACGATGCCCAAGAAGAGAAGAAAAACATACTACGAGATCTTGTTGCCGCTTTCGTCAGAGTCAGCACGGAAAAACCTGCCGTCATTGGTCTTGGCCATCAGTCCACAATTCCAATTGCCAGCCAGGGTAATAGTTCGGACCAAGCAATGCTCGAGGCTAGCGGAGTTCCTGGTATCATTAGCAGCACTGTAAGTTCGGCCGAGCCAAGCGCTGGAGTGAGTGCACAATGGAGTACGATGAGGGTACCATGTATCGATCAGCTAGACAAGACGGATGCACCATCTATCCCCGAATCATATATCTACGCCCTCACTCTTGCATGTATTAGTGGCTTTTCCGAAGGGCTCGCAAAATTCATTCTGCCATTGACGGTACCTGAGCGACCTCGTAAAAAAGGTCCAAGACATTCTGAAATTGAGCCAAAACTTTCAGATTCGCGCTCTAGTACCCCCGATATCAAACCAATCGAGAGGAGCTCCTCTTATAAGAAGAATCCAATTCCTATCAATCCATTAACTCTTGAGGATCATCATCTCTTCCAAGAGGTCAAGATTTGCGCTGCTATTGTAGACGAATGTTGGCCTGCAATCTTGGCAACTTGCTCAACATTTCTCTATGCGGCGCTGGATCAAGAGTACTACCATGGCTTGGTCAGATCATTCCAAAAGTTTACTCATGTGGCAGGGCTTTTACGGCTTGCGACGCCACGAGACGCATTTTTGACAACCTTGGGAAAGGCGGCAGTACCGTCCAATGTCTTGACAGCTACTACAACTCAAGTACAGAGTCCAACGACGCCCACTGCTGATATATCTTCTAGCTCGAGCATTTTCAACAACGCAAGAGGGCTATTAAGTGTTGATAGTTTGGTGAGCAACCCTGAACGAAATAGACATGTACCCGTTGATGCATCTAGTTCGTCGCTCAACACGCGCAACTTGCTTTGCCTTCGCGCATTACTGAATCTAGGGATCGCATTGGGACCCACACTTGAATCGGCGTGGGTGATTGTTCTTGGCACATTGCAACAAGCTGATTTGGTAATATTCTCGAGTTCCAAAACCGTGAGGACTCCCACCACACAAAGGCCAGAAATTCAAGAAGTCAGCAATACTTCTGCACTACTTGCAAACTTTGGTACCGAAATCAAAGCAGTCGAAACTGCTGCTACAAGATTGCTAGAAAGTACTATTGATTTTCCAAATGAACCATTTGTAGCTGTTGTTTCAGCTCTTTGTGACTTGTTCAGCAAAGAGGAAATCCTCAAGATACCAGAAAAGCCAGTACCTTCCAATCCATCATCGCCTGAGGGAAGAAGGCCGTCTTATGCCCATAAACGAGCCCATAGTATTGTTACATCAAGTTCTACGCAGAATCAAGAGGATTTATTTGCGTTAGCAAAATTAGGCGATATCGCAAGCATCAATATTGACAGATTGACGACACACGAGCCTAGCGCTAGCGGATGGCAGATGTTGACATCAGAATTGATTTCTGCTTCTTGTTCTCTCTCTGCAACGCCTTCTGTCAGACTAAGAGCTGCGGAAATTCTTGTTAGAATTGTGATTGAAGCGGCAACTTCTACACTCGCAGACTCCGAAGTTCGACGAGGTCTCGTCCAAACCATGCTACTTCAAGCGTTGAGTCGTGCCCTTCATCCGCTTCAAATGGAAGATAGACAAGTCACCGTAGGCATACATTCGACAGATGTCGAAGTTCACAAGACGATTCTTGAGGGCCTGAAAAGTATTCTTGAGCAATGTGGAGAGAAGCTAATCAGTGGTTGGGACATTGCATTTGAAATTCTTGGCAGTGTCTTCATCAATTCTGACCGCGAAGCAAAAGTAACTGCTACTCGATCTGCTAAATTAGTCCGCTCTGCTTTCAATTCTCTTCAGCTCATCTGTTCTGACTTCCTTTCTTCATTACCAAATTCTTGCTTTCTAATACTTGTCGACACTCTTTACAATTTCTGTACCCAAGATGATGATCTTAATATTTCACTGACGGTAAATCGCATCCAAAAATCTCCTCGATCATTTCTAATAATTTTTAGACTGTTACCTTTTTCTGGGTATTGTCAGATTTCATTTCTAGTAGAACCAGTTCTTTTTCACTTAGTCCTGATCTTATCGAAGATTCAACCGAGGAAGCTCTAATTGAAAAGGCATCTGGTGATGACCGCGCCGTTTCAGACGCAGCTTTATGGATGCTTCTCTTGCTACGACTGACATCTGTTACGGCAGACGAAAGATTGGAGCTCAGAAATAGTGAGTGCAGACTGCTATTGAAGCGGGTCCTTGTCTAACTGTTGCAGGCGCAATTCAAACGTTGCTAAGGATATTTGATGCATACGGAGATCAGCTCAGCGCAGTAGCATGGTCTATGTGCCTGAAATCGGTCATCTTTAGGTTATTATCCTCAATAGAGGCACACTTACAGTCTATCACTGAGCCTACGCCGACACTCACGGTATCTGATAAAGACAAGATAGGATGGAATGAAACTACTGTCGTGGTTTTGAGCGGTATCACTAATCTATTGGCCGATTATTTGGATGTCCTTACTAACCATCCCACATTTGAACGCTCTTGGAAGACCCTTTTAGAACATTTCAAAACAATGCTGGATTTCAAGATTCTCGAAGTCAATACAGCTGTTTTCAAGGCTTTACAACAAATCCTTTCCCGTGGCAATATCAAAGAGGGCACACAAACAAATTTTACACGATCTTCAATTGATATGGCATGGAGTCTTTGGTCTGATTCTCTGCCTTCAGTGAACCTCGATGTGTTGGATAAACGTGTTGACAACCAAGATTATCTGGTTGCTTATGTGTCTGCTCTTCATGAGATTTATCGTCTTGTGCAAAAAGATCTCGATGCAAATCGAGTTAAAAGAATGCTTACTCTGCTCCGGGAAGCCATACAACAAGCGAACGCTTCCACATATTCCGCGGATATTGAGTATCTTACGCCACTACAGTCTCAAGTTTTAGAGTCGCTTAAATTGATTCGTACCGATATTGAGGGAGTTCCTGCTACCTTAATTAGCCAAGTTGCCGAATTTGTTGCGTTGGCTTTCGTGCCGAAAGACACTACTTCTAACGTCCAGAGGCCAACATACGTGGCTCTGTCCAAAGCTTCGATGGTATTATCCGAAAAGCTCATTCTGTCGCATTCCTCGGAACCAGATATATATACGAGCGGTGCAGTATCTTCTTCGTTGTCCGCGCTTGCAAATCCTATTGTCACAAAGTACTCGTTTCCTATAATTTCAAAGAGCATATCGCCTTGGCGCCAGGCCACAACGTCAGCACTTGCCATCCTGGGTGCAATTCTGCCAATAATGCCAACTATTACCTTGAATGACGAAGCCGTACGTTCTATATGGGCATCAACGGTGAGCATAGCTATTGGAATCACTTCTGCAGATTTTGATGCTGCGGCAAAATTAGCCGATATCAAGGATGACCAGGATTTCGACATCGCATCATTCCTAACCTTGCGCGAACTCATTACGCCCGCGCTGGGCTCCGAAGTCATACCCGATCGAATCCGTCGCACTTATACTGAATCACTCTTCCACATGTCTATCATCCACCCTGCACAGCCCAGCGAGCTTCCGCAGCCCGGCCAGGAACTACTAGCCACCTTATATCATCCCCGCAAAGGTCGCACTGTTGATCCCATCCCCTCGCCCCGTGCAAAAATGTGCTATGTTTGTTTCGATGAACTTATATCTCTTGTCACTCTCAATGATGGCTCTGTACCCCGCATCAAGCTTGCTCAAGCAGCTGCGCCATACTTAATACTCAGATCAGGCCTCATTGTTCGCGCATATATTGCTGATCAACCACTGCGCGGTCGCATGCCACAACCATTGTCCCAGCGCAAAGAACTTTTATACATCCTCAAGAAGCTTGTCGGGTTGAAGTGTGAAAGCGAGGCAATCCCGGATACGCCGGGTGTGGAGAGTGAAGGCAAAAAACATTTACATCGCTTATATCCGTTGTTTGTGAAGGCTATGGGAGCGGCAGCGAGGGATCAAGAGGTCCTGGAGTGGATTGGGAAAGCGTTAGAGGAGGTAGGGATGGAGTTTGGGCTTTGAAAAAGAAGAATTTGATGTTCTGAAAATGTTTGAGATGAATTTTGGGAATCCATATCAGAGCAGCATTAGAAACATGGCGTTGGTGCTTTTCGTTACTCCTTAAAATGCATTGAGGTCTACATCTTTAGCTTGAATTAGGATCTCTTTTCCCTTCGCTGGCGCTATTCCATATCCAAAGTCCAAAGTTATAGATTTCAAATAAGTTTTATTTTATGGTTGAGAGTATTTTGAGTTTGTTTGAGTTGCAAAGACTACCTCTTCAATACTTGGGTAGGTAAAAGGTATTTTTTTGTCAGCAGCATCTGACCCCGCCATAATAAATACAATATACAGTGGCTCGCTCAAAAACGCATATCGCTGATAGTCATACATTCAACTCCTCTCCTACTTCCCTGGCCCTTATTCTCGATTGCCATTTAGCACATCGTCTTTCCCATGTCATGTTATATCGTAAGTTTACTTTCTGGTGGCGTTCTCAAAAGATGCAAGCATGCTTCTCTTCATCTCATCATTTGGGGACTCTTTTTCTGTACTCGTCTGTTCGGCGCTCTTCTGCCCCTTCAAGACCTTTGCGGCCATGGTTTTTGCTTGAGCATCACCAACTTTTCCGTATACTGCCATGGCGCTAGCAATCATGCTTCCGATATCCCCCACATTTCCAGGGACGACAACGGCAGTACCCTCTTTAGCGAGCTTTCCAAACGCGTCAACGTACTTTTCAGCTACACTGAGACTAACAGCGCCTTGAGCTGATTCCTCTCCAGAAGCAATCGCCTGAGCTACTGCCTCGATACCTGCAGCTGTGGCTTTTGCCTTTAACAAAATAGCTTCGGCCTCACCACTTGCCATATTGATTTGTTCGCTTCTCAAAGCCTCAGATGCCAAGATCACACTTTGCTTTCGTCCCTCTGCGATGTTGATAGCGCTTTGTCTTTGACCTTCGGAATCGAGGATTTCTGCACGTTTGCTACGCTCAGCAGTAACTTGTCTGTGCATAGCTTCCATAACTCCTTCCGGTGTGTGAATATCCCTAATTTCGTAACGCAAGCAAATCACACCCCATTCCTGTGCAGCTTCATTAATAGCGGCTGTGATGTTGGTATTCAAGGCGGCGCGCTCCTTGAGGACTTGATCGAGGGTAAGCTGTCCGATTTCCGAACGCATAGTTGTTTGTGCTAGTTGAGAGATAGCATATTCTGCATCCTCGACTCCATAACTTGAGATATGTTAGTGTATTCCCTAGCCAAGAGATAAAGGTAAGTTACCTAGCCTTATAGGCATCAAAGACTCGAGTATACAGCACACCATCAAGCTCCAAAGTAACATTGTCGGTGGTGATCGCACTTTGGCTAGGAATCTCAATCGCAGATTCCTTCAAGCTCTTGACATATGCTATCTTATCTATTATTGGCAATAAAATGGCGAGACCAGGTTCCAATATGCGGTTGAACTTTCCCATCCGTTCTACAATCCATGCTGTTTGTTGGGGAACGAATCGAACAATGGTATTTGCAGGTAAGGAAGGTCGCTGAAAATATGAAGTCGGTATATTCGAGTTATTAATTCCCATCAATCCGCTATTCGGCGCTCTTATTCTAGAAGAGACATGGAGCTGTCGTTGCTGTTGTGTGTATCTTTGAGAGAGGATGGTTTGAGCTCTGGATAATAGAACTCGAGATGTGATTTTTGGTAGAGAGGCCGAGAGACTATGAGATAGTCCCGGCGCACTCATGACCATGCGATAGGTTGCCTCTAGAGACATCGTTTCGATTTATATATTTGTATGGGGGCGATAGCTGTCTTTCGTAATGACCTTTCGACATCATAAGATGCATGGCGGAGCTGGTCCGAGAAATTGAAGACTAGCGGCCGCGTCTCCGCGCTGATAAGCTCCATCCGAGCTCTCACTTTCTACAACCAATTTACAAACTTACTACGAGTGTTCCAGCACATTTGCTACCGGTATATTATACTCTCTCAAACTTGACGATATACAAACTTGGAACCACAGCTTGACCAATTATAATTTCAACCTCATTAATCAAATTAGATCTTTTCGACACGATGTCCGAGTACTGGAAATCAACGGTAACTTTCAAAATCTACTCCCAACCTACAATCATTCTAACACATTTAATAGCCCAGTTACTGGTGCAAGCACTGCAAGCAATACGTGAAAGATACCAAGCTCGAGAAAACAAACCACGAAGCCAGTCCGCGCCATCAAGGCAATCTCAAGCGATTCCTGCGCGATCTCCACCGCGGCCACGAAAAAGACGAGCGGGAAAAGGATCGCGCCAAAAATGAAATCGCCCGTCTAAACGGCATTGTGAGTGGAAGCGGCGAGGCAGGAAGTTCCTCACAATCGTCGCGACCCAGTTCCTCGACGCCGAAAGCCCCTGCGACGGCCGCGCAGCGAAAACAACAATTGGCGCAATTGGCGGAGCTGGGCGTGAGCGTTCCGGATGAGTTTAGATCGGATTTGGCTATGGCCGGCGAGTGGCAGGTCACTTCTGAGCGTGTTATTGATGATGGGAGTGGGGAGACGAAACCAGATGCGATTGCGCTGGGGGTTCGAAAGAGAGAAGCTGAGGATGAAGATGAGGAGGCGAAAGAGACGAAGAAGAGGAGATGGGGCACAGCGATCCGCACATATCCTACGGAGAATAACGTCGATGATTTAGATGCTTTGTTGAGCCATAGCGGTAAAGGCAAGGGTTCTGATGTGAAATCCGAAACAAATGACGGTGTCAATATAAAGATAGAGAAGAAGTCCGAAGAAGACGTGGAACCTCTAGCGAATAGCAAAAGGGAGGAGGATCCAGTTGTGAAACCCGAGACACAGGAAGATGTCGAAATCGATATAAAGCAGATCCCGGAAGCCACAGAACAGAACAGCGAGCCTGCAGCGTCAGGAGTCGTTTTCAAGAAGAGAAAAGCTAAGAATATTCGCCAACGATGAAATGTCATCAGAATTACTCAAAATTAAACAGCGATTCCAGCCATGGAAACCTCCATTCTTGGGCATATCACAAAATAGTGAACACAAACGTTCGAGCAAACCCGATTAGAGTGGGGGAAGAACCTCATGTTGCGGGGGCGGGGCACATGCCTACTAATATAGGGCATGTAAAGTTTCCCATTCATCGCGAGATGGAAATTACCTTCACAAAGAAGTTTACCACGTTGATGCAACAATCGATGGATACTCCGTTAAGAGAACCTCCTCGCATTTTGGCTTACGAGTGGAGAGGTAGGTACCGAGTTGCATATGTGACTATTGTGTAGAGAAGAGAAAGAGAATCTCTCAATTCGGAGTCAACGTAGCTAATGATACGTACATGAAGGCCAATAAAGTAAACCCAGAGACTTCTGTCTCGGGCATTCCCAGAAGAATTAGTCGACGCAATAGAATTTATTAGTATCCTACAATTCACACATTACGCTCTATAAACGCAAACTATCCTCGTCTGATTATTGAACTGTATAATATAATATAATTTGAGTCTATCCATAACTAAGTAGCCCGTGTTCCCTCTCCCCACAAGCACATCCCATCCCCAACCCCAGTCCAAAAATTCAGCCTTCCTGCACCATGAGTCCGATCAAATACCCATACCTACAAGCCCGTGAATTTTGGCTGCACACTATAGAAGTATACGGTGTCGGTTCCTGAATAAACGAATCCATCGCCAATTACGCCTATAAACAGTTGTAATATATCACCTCTCAGATTCCTCTCCACTCCATCCATCCACAATCTCGCTAGTTGAAAAAAAGTACCGCTGCGTACATACATGTAGGTCATGCGTACTAGCTAGTGAGCAGAAAGGAAATACATCGCTGTGTCAATTCGACTTCGCTAATTATTCATGCATCGCATTATATTGTATCATCTCATCATGAACAATCTCGCCCCCTGTCAATTTACACTCTCTTTATTGAGTTATTTCGTTGTTGGATTGGTTATGTATATTTGATCCTAGTTGTTTCCCATTCTCCTCTGATGAACTCATGAGAGCTGGAGTATCTGGTGTAAGCGTGAGCTGAGGTGTGACAATACTAGTATCGATTTTCGTGTCTGGCATCTGGAGCCCCATTGGAGCTTGGTGATTGGACTCTATTTTCTGGGGAAAATCTCGAGGTCGTAAAGTTTGAATGCTTACATCCATGTCTTGAGCAGCGGTTTCATCAGGGCTTCCGCGTCTAGAGCCCGATGCTTCACGTGCGTTTTCGACATGGACCGCATCGTGCGTTTTTTCGTTGTCATTCTCTTTTTCAATCATAGCCGTTATACTCCGAAAATTGAACATAGATTCAGCTCCTGTATCGCCATCTTCGTTCCCCTCATTTGTCTCTGTAGCACCAGGGCTTTCAATGCTTGTAGAAGAGCCTTGGGGATTTGTACCGTTACCTGACTCGGCTATTGAAGATGAGGCGCTAGATGCGGTGCTCATCTGTCGTAAGTGCGACGGCTTGTCAGGACTTGTAGGTGAAGGAATAGACTGATGAGTCTCTAACAAACTAGAACTCGTCGAGGGATCTGACTGCTGGACGCCAAGAAGTCCGCTATCCGTGGCACTCCCGTCGTTACCCAAATAAGGGCGAGCTACACCTTTTCCTTTTCCTTGTGGAGGCTCCTCGACTTCTTCGGGTGTCACTTCTGTAGCCAAATTGCTTGCGGCACTATCACCTCTCTTTCGCCCAGTAAAAGTAGCAGCCAGACTGTTTCCTAGATTCAGCATACTCGAACTAGCCGAATGTCCGTTAGTGCCATAGATGGATTTTCTCTCTTTTTTCTCTCTCTTCTTCTCTTCTTTGGCCTGCTTCTTCGCGTTTTTTGCAGCCTCCTTGGCGGCTTCTTTGTCGGCCTTCTTCTTTCGTTCCTCTTCTGCCACAATACTGAGTCTAATCGCCTCAGCCATCATCATCTCCTCGACGTCTCGCGTTCTTCGAGCAGCATTAGTATCTCGACCTTCCCTACGCGCTTGGCCGGACGACTCAGCTGCAGTCCTGGAACTGGCATCGCGGTTCGAAGAAGTGACAGATCCACTATTGTCAGGATCGCTGCGGTTTCTACCGAAGCGACTTCGTCCGAAAACATAGCTGCGGTTGTCCGAGGTTCCGGGAAGTACATAGGCAGCTGCGTGTAGTGCCGAAGCGGCGGCGTTCTTTTTGGCCTTTCGCAGATTAGCAGCTTCAAGCTTTGCCGACCAGTCCGGTCTGATGCGGTCAGTCGTAATAACATTTGAATCATTAGCTGATAATGAAGTGGCCCGACGCCTGTTGTCGCCTCTTGGTGCAAGCCCCGGACTTGCTATAGGCGGTGAACTGATCGATGACGACGATGACATGGCCGAAGAGAAGTTGGCCAGTTCTGGAGGTGGCTTTGCATAAACAAGGCCACGGCGGAAAGGCGGTGGTTCGTATGTCACGCCAAACTCGGGTCGCTGACAGTAAGGGCAAGCGGCTGGTTCCGAAACGAGCATTTCTGTATCTTCGGCTTGATCGGGCGCGGGTTGTGGTGGACCGTGGTGTTCTGGCGTATGCGGATCTGGTCTCTTAATTTGCACAAAGCATTCCGAACAAATAGTCTGGTCGCAACATCGAGTCCTGTTCAGATAAGGAGGGTAAAATATCAAGCATATTGAGCATTCAACAGCGTCTTTGTACAGAAAAGCCTCGATAGCTTGACCATTTACTTGGGAATCTCTAGGCAATTGAATCTCACGGGGTCCCGAATCCGTTGCCGAGGTTTCCTTTGATGAAGATTTTAGGCCTAACGTTTTAGCTCGAGGACGAAGCAAAGAGGAAGAAGTGGCAGGTGCATTAAGGGGCGATGCCGGAGATGACGTATTGAAAGATGAGTGTGACGGTGAGCGGCCAACAGAGGTGTCATATGAAGCAGACTGGCTTCGTGAAGCTATTGGCACAGTCAAATTTTGGAGGGTCGAGTTTGGTGCATTCGCGGAATTGGAAGAATGAGGCCTAGCACTGTCTTCGGAAGGTATTTCATCAGCGGCTGGAATGGGAAGGCCTCGCCCGGCAGCGACCAACTGATGCTCGGTCCAATCACTCTCGTAATCATCTAGCCCCCTCCAAAATGGTGCAACTCGCCGCTCAATCTCGTACATGTCAGCGTAATGACTAGGCATCAAATATCATAGTCTATAACATACCATCAATTGTCTTACTATTGCCTTGTTGAAATCTTCTGGGCCAGTGTAGACACCCATTGTAACCAAATATCCACCATCTACATGCTCCTCCCTAATGCTTCTCTCTCGTTCTTCTACTCTTGCAACCCTCTCCCTCTCGAGTCTCCTCATTTGTCGCTCGGCCGCTGTCTCCTTCCTCTCCGGCACTTCATTGTTTGATCCGCCGCCCACAATAGCTGCTACGAGGTTTCGCCTGCTGCCTCTGCCAGTACGAGAAGAATATGGATCGTGGTCGGATGGAGAAGTTGGCCCATTCGTACCGGCGCCATGATGTCGATGTCTATCCCCGCCATGCGAGTCGTCCCGCGACTGGTGCTGACCCATTTTGCAGCCGCAATGTTCGCAGAAGTCGAAATCAACTGTTCATCGAGGATTGGGGTTGGGAAGAACTATATCCAAGATAAAGTCTCGAGTTGGCATGCGCTGCCAACTTCTTGAGATTGAGTGAATGTTGTGAATTTATGCAGGTTCTCGGCAAGCGTGGGGAGTTGTGATTGTAAGGTTTATTATATCGCCTGAGCCACAGTACAGTTCCACTCCCAATCTGGATCACACGAGCTAAATTCAGATAAAGACGAGTTGGGTACCCTTTTTGGTGTTGACAAGAGGGGTGAGAAGATACAATCAGCTGCGTCCTTGAAGATAAGGAAAAGTCGTCTGGGTCCAGCTTGTGATATTCCTCTTCTTGACCGACCAGATGATGGAGTTTCTGCGGAAGTAGCAAAACTTTATTGGATAACTTGTAAATGGAGGGAACCGGAAGAAAGATTGGCGGAGTGGCTTTCTTTCTTATACTCGTATTCCTGTAGCTAATCGACAAGATCCCTATATCCCTACGAGATTGTAGATCTGCTGAATTTTATGATGGAGTAGTGGGTAAGAGAAGTCCAAAGTTAAATTTCTAGGAGCGTTATGACGGTAGAGGTAGAGATAGACCAAGCCTTAATATAACAATGCAATCAATCAATGCAGGAGAAAGTTGGAAGGGGGGGATTCGATTCTCTTTTGGAAAGTCGTGTGGAGGAGAGTGATGCTGAGAGAGCAAGTATGGTATTGAGAGATTGGAGAATGGATGAATCGAACAATTGAAGAATTAATAAAGAATTGCAATCAAGATTTACAATCCATAGCTATTCAATCAATCAATCAATATAATCACTAGTCGTGTGGCCAGACGGATTCCATATCATAGGTCAAAGGTTATAAAAATGGGTTGGTTGTAAGGCCGTGGTGGCCGTGGTGGCCGTGGTGGCCGCTCTTTCCGATACAGTGAGTGAAAGCAGGTACGAATGAATTACGAAGTAGTCCGTAGAGTCGGAGACGGAAGAAGCAATCAGTGCAGGGCAGAACAGATACGATGGATCCAATTGAATATTATCGTCTACTAGGTATTGCTCGGGTATATAGTCATGTTTGCTGTATAAACACACATCTCTATCTCTACTGTATCTGCATCTGCATCTGCATCTGCATCTGTGTCTGTACCAAGACAGGGACATTTCGGTACTGAGCCATCACAATTCCCAAGCGTTCACGTCAAATGCGCCCGTTTTCAGCCATCAGGGAAAAGGGAACCAGCCATCATATTATCCATGCAATCATAACATAATACCTACCCAGGTTTCATGTGTCCGGTCTTCAACATCATTCCAATACCATCTACATCGTACATGCTAACAAGTAGTAGGATCCTCTGTACGGAGTTCCTCATCACCAACTCATGTCTCCTTTCTTTTCTTCTCATTTCCCTGTTATTTCCCTCAAATTCAAAGTTTAGTCAACATTTGACTTTCGCTAGATAGACATTTCCATTCGAATTGACTTATTACTTACCGCACTTTTACAACATCGGTACTAGAAGATTGAGCTTGGAAGATTAGGTCGAGGACAGACAGTTTAGATCAGTCCGTTGATCCCGATCTAGAATCTAATCCTTCGGGTCGTACCTTACTCTGGCGTTGATGAAGTGTCAAACCGAGGTTAGGTAGGTAATTAATTAGTGGAACTTCTGAATCTGGACTGCTAGGTTACAAAATGCTCTCAATGAATAGTTGTTTATATGCACATCGAACTAACCTTTGAGATTGCATAGATCAGCTTTTCAAGTTCGCATGATTGGAACAGAAGATCAATCATGCAATGCAGCAAAAAGTAGATATAACATCTCCTCCGCCGTTAACACCAATGATCGATTACGAGTAATGATAAACGATGATTATGAGACGGTCGGCAAACATGAAAGTAAAGCTCATATCGAACATTAACACAGAACACATGAAATAATTTTCCCCATGATTCTAGGCCTCTCACTATGTTAGGGGCTCCTCATCCCACTAAGATTGGTTGTTGACTGTTGAGAGATCCAGTCATCGCCTAATCGCGCGACCTACCATTGAGTCGGTCAATAATCGGAGTGTTCGGATTAGTTGGAGCTTAGAACTTGTTAGACTTAAGAACTTGGAATTCGAAAGTTCCAGGTTGGCTCGGTTGGCTCTGGAAGATAGCAGCGAGATCAGATGGATCGTTCGCATGAACTTTTTTCCCTTCGAGATCATGTCGGGTGTCTCGTTTCGTCTCGTCTCGTCTCCTCTTTTTTCTCTCTCCAAATTCTCTCTCCAAATTCTCTTACACACGCGCGTTGGTTTCTACTTGCAAGATGAAGCCCGATGAGTTGAGATGATACCAGTTTACACAGAAAAGAAAGATGGATGGCCTTCAACGTGAAGATCTACCTAGGTAGGTACCTATCAAACTGGAATACGCCCTTGTAGGATTGTGGCTGGGAAAACCTTATCAATGGTGCCCTCCCTCAGCCTACCTACCTAACGGAAAACACCCAGAACAACTGGCTTCGCTTCACTAATTGAGATATCGAGGGGTCACAGGTACAACTGTCATTGACATTTCTGCTAAGAATAAGAATAAGAATAAGAATGGGTAATAAAGTCAAATTATTTAGGATAATTCAAATCTCAAATACAATCAGGCTGAATTCATTCAATACCTTTTAACCATTCTAATAGGTCAATTCGTGACATTCCTTGCAGTGAGATCTACCAAGACGGGTTGTACAAATTCAGAAAGAGAGATAAAACAATCTAACCCCACTATAACGTCTTCCTACAAGCCTCCAATACATTTTTGGTCTCTCACAATCATTCAAACGACCGTGGCAGCAGCACATTGACAATTCTCACAAAAAAAGGTGACTAACTTAAATCATTCTTTCATTCTTTCTTTGATTTTTGTTCTTCTCCCAGCTTCACTCTTTCTTCTTTTCAAACCTACCTACATACATTCTTTCTTTTTCTGTCCATTTCACATCGCTCGAACATAGGTACTCTTCAAAGACCAGTCAACAATACTGCACGGCTACATTCGGTTTACCCATATTCAATATGACAACTCGCCCACCACTTTCAACCATTCTTCCACCTCTCATCTGCGGCACCGGAACTTTCAATATTCAATATAATGCCGATCCCTTCGCAGTCCCTGCAAATGCGATTGTGCAAAGAGCTTTGGAATCGGGCGTAAATGCATTTGATTCATCTCCATACTATGGTCCTTCTGAGATAATTTTAGGTAAGGATATATTCTCTCTTTCTGTCGATTTTGCCCCTCCACTCTATATTTTCAAACTCATAATCTAACCCACCTGAAGGTCGCGCCCTCCAACAACCACAAATCCTCGCCAATCACCCCCGCTCCAGTTATTACCTCCTAACAAAATGCGGTCGCATCGCCGCTTCTGAATTCGACTACTCTCCCGCATGGATTAAATATTCCATTTCCCGCTCCCTCGCCCGTCTCCACACCACCTACCTCGATGTTGTCTATCTCCACGACGTCGAATTTGTTTCCCCCTCGGAAGTCCTCGAGGCCATAAACTGTCTGCGCGAGCTCCAGGCTCAAGGCATCATCCACTACATTGGAGTTTCAGGATATCCCGTCCCGCTTCTCTGTTCCACCGCCGAAATGATTTTGCGCGAGACGGGTAAACCTCTCGATTGCGTAATGAGCTATGCAAATTTTACCATCCAGAATCACTCTCTATATACCAGCGGGCTTGCGCGTCTGCGCAAAGCAGGCGTGGATTGTGTGCCCAGTGCTTCGGTCCTCGGCATGGGGCTTCTACGCAGCTCCGGAGTCCCAGTGCCCGGGAAGGAGGACTGGCACCCAGCACCCAAGGAACTCCGTTCTCGAGTTCAGAAGGCGGCGCGATGGTTGGAGGAACGAGGGGAGCGATTGGAAGTTCTGGCTATACGGTGGGGTCTTGAACGCTGGGCTCTCGATGGTAAAGTCGGCTCGGAGCCTATCGGAGTATCCCTCATGGGTGTGAGTAATATAGGAGAGTTTGAGGAGACTCTACGAGTGTGGAACAGTATCTTGGACGGGATCGATATACCCGGACGAAAAGTCACCGAAGCGGAAAAGCAATGGAGTTTGAAGAGGAGAGAAGAGACGGAAGCGTTAGCGAAAGGGGTTAGGGAAATCCTTGGAGAGTATCGCGATTTTGCGTGGGCAAGTCCTGATGAGGGATTTGTGAACATGAGAGTTGTCAAGGGGGTTGTGGATGAAGTTGCTCCGATGCCGCCGGCAGAGGAGAGCGGTGCTGTTGAGAAGACAGGGAATATTGTAGCGATCAAGGATTCGGACAAAATTAGTAGGCTTTGAATGTCTACTGTAATCTCATCTTGGCTCTGTTTGGTTTAGGTATTACTCATGCACGCACAAAATCATCCAAAAAAAAAAAAAGGTATTGCATGCATGACTTGGATAAGCGGAGGCGTTATTAGTTGCCATACGTTTCAATGTTTTTCAATTCATGTGCCAACTCCTCTCACGCAACTATGATAACCACATCTATGATCAAGATCAGTCTTCTTTGCTTTTTGTGACTTTTCGTTCCGTAAAGGATGAAGTTGAATATCCAGGACCATTTTTATGGGAATCAACCCAAATATGAGATACCACCAGTAACTGCCAGAGATGAAGAATAGCATGATGCAAAGAAACATTTTGTCAAAAGGAATATGGTCTTTTTTCTTCTTCTTGATATCAAAGCTCTGAAGATCCACAACATGTCCAGAAGAACCATTTCACAAATTGTGACAAGCAGTAAAAACTCCATTATACGCCATACTTCGCATATTTTCCCAATAAAAATTTAACTGAGCACTTTTATTCGTCCAAGCATATAACCCCGTAAATCTAAGCAGAAGAATGCTTGCGACGTTCTCGGACAGCATCGGCAAGTTTCTCAAGGACTTCGACGGTGGATTCCCAGTTGATACAAGCATCGGTGATGCTGACACCCTTCTTGAGACCGGAGGGTCCCTCAGCAGGAACCTTTTGGTTACCTTCGTTGATGTTGGACTCGATCATGACACCGATGATGGATTTTTCACCAGCACGGAGTTGGTCGCCGACAACTTGGGCTACCTTGGGTTGATTTCGGTGGTCCTTGTTTGAGTTTCCTAGGAGACTTGTTAGAGAATTTTTCATGTGAGATTGTGTAGAAAAGACATACCGTGAGAGCAATCAATCATGATAGCTTGCTTTTGGTTCTTCTTGGTCAAAGTATCCTTGGTGAGCTTGACGTTCTCAGCATCGAAGTTTGTACCCTTGGTACCACCACGCAAGATAACGAATCCGTGCTCGTTGCCACTAGTTCTGGTAATGGCAGCAAGACCCTGTTTTGTAACACCCATGAAGTGATGTTTGGCAGCCGCAGATCCAATGGCATCAATTGCAACAGTCAAGCTTCCATCGGTACCGTTCTTGAATCCAACTGGGAAAGAGAGACCTGATGCAAGCTCACGATGCAATTGTGATTCGGTGGTTCTTGCACCAATGGCACCGAGGGAGATCAAATCTGCGAGGAATTGAGGGGAGATGGTATCGAGCATTTCAGTTGCGATAGGCATGCCGGTGCTGGTGAGATCACAGAAGAGTTGACGACTAATTCTTAAACCTTTGTTGATCTTGAACGACTCGTCAATATCAGGGTCGTTGATCAAACCTTTCCATCCGACAGTTGTGCGGGGCTTCTCGAGGTAGGCACGCATGATAATGCAAAGATCGCTCGACAATTTATCGGAAAGATCCTTCAGTCTTTTTGCGTACTCGAT